AACAGTCTACAAAGGGCAGAAATGCAGTCCGAACCCAAAGTAAAGATAATTAGAAATTAAAAAAACTCAACCCAAACCACACTGAAGTAATTAACATGGCAGGCCAGGATGGTAAATTGCAGACTTTCAAAGGATAACACAGCACCCACAGTTGGGAGATAAGATAAGCCTCGACAAAGATAATGTATGCTTTACTTCTAGCAGAGAGCTGTGTGCAAATGCCCCACTTATATCCTGTTCTCCCAGCTGCAACTAATGAAAGAGATCAGGGCCTTTTTCTCTCTTGTAAGCCATGTTGGTCCCTTCTCCATTCCTCTCTGTGTGCCCTAGGATGAAGAGGGGATTGTTGAGGTAATTCCCCATTAGGAGAAAGAGCACATACAGGGTGACGTACTTGAGTGAAGTGTTTGAATAATACACACACAGCACACAGATACACTGTACAGTAAATGTAGGTTTTTACTTCCAGAAAGGTTTAAAGCAAAGTTCAAAATAAGCAGTCCAAAGTCATTCACAGGTTAAATCAGTCAATTTTCAATCCAGGGATAATCCAATAACAAATTCCAGTGTCAAAAAACAGTTCAGTATCAGATTTACATCAAATCCAGGAATAGCAGTCAATTAGGAAAAATGGAGGAACTTTCCAACAGAAGGAAACAGAGACTCACTCACACTCTCTTCTGAGACTAAGGCTAAGACAACCCAGGTTTCTGGCTCCATCTTATGGTCGCTTGAGAAACCACACCCAATTGCAGTTTTTGCATGCTTTTAAAGAGTCAGTATTAAAATGTCTGTCGTGGTTTATATATTTCCAACCCAAATAGCTGTTAGGTGACTTACCTTCCTAACAGGGATGGCCCTGGGTCTTCCTCTGAATGCCCAGCTGGACTGTGTCCTTCCCCCTTTTCTTCCACACCCATCGGAGCCACACTCCCACTCCCTGTGAGCTGCTCAATCTCCCACTCAAAATCAGACTCCAACAAGGGCATGACAGCATTGCTGTTGCTGCACAAAGATAAGTCTAAGGCTTCAGCCATTGCCACTGGTGCTTTGGTCTGCCTGCACCACCCAACCTGGCTGTGAGTGTCTATGCCCACTCAGTCACATGATTCCCGAACTGGCCATGCCCACTCAGTCACATGATTCCCCACCCCAGCCATGCCCACCCAGGAATTAGGAAAAACCAGTTGTTAAATTAGTTGAATCCCACCACTGAATGTATCTGTTGGGTTCATTGTATTCTAGCAATGTTTGAGATTTTTCATCCATAAAGAAATCAACTACTCACCATTGTTCTTTATTCTCTGCATGGATACTGTAATCAACAGCCTACAATCCCGACACTCATGAATGCTATTATATACTGATGATACCATAATTGAAACATACAGCAGTCTCAACTGAGCCTTCATCAAATTCAAAAGAGGACCCAGGAGGAGCTCCTCCATAACAGACAAAGAAGAGAACAACAAATGAAGTAATGTTTTCATTCCCTACATTGCAGGAATATCTAAAAAGCTCAGGAGGATTTTCAACCAACACGATATACATGCAAACTTTAATAGCAATAGCACTTATATACCACTTCAAACTGCTTTTACAGCCCTCTCTAAGCAGTCAGCATATCGCCCCCAACAATTTTATCCACCTCAGAAGGATGAAAGGCTGAGTCAACCTTGAGCCTGGTGAGATTTGAACTGTCAAATTGTAGGCAGCCGGCAGTCAGCAGAAGTAGCCTGCAGTACTGCACTGTAACCACTGCACCACCATGGCTCTTTAAACCCAAGAATATACTAAAGCAGAAGCTTGTCCATCCCAGCCAGACACAAAGTTAGCATTATGATATATGCAGTACAATGCAGTGAGGCTTGCACAGTTCTGTACACTGGAGAAGCAGAACAACCACTTCACAAACACTTGGCACAACATAGGAGAACAAACCCACCAGGAAAAAATTAAGCAGTCCATCTGCATTTGAAAGACAAAGGTCACTCTTTTTAAGACAGCCAAGTCCACATTCTGGACAGAGAAGAGCAGTGGTTTGAAAGAGGGGTCCAAGAGGCCATTTTCGTTAAGATTGAACAGCCTTCTCTCAACCGAGGAGTATGACACCAACTATCTCTTGTTTACAACACAGTCTTTTCAGCAATTCCAAGGAAGCTCCACACCAATTTTCACTGTTCAGATGACCTTAAGGGCACAGATAAACCTTGAAGTGGCCCAGTGGTGGTATTCAAATAAAGTTGCCACTGGTTTGGTGGGAGTGGCTTGGTGGCCACGCTTTGTGCACATGCACACACTTTGCATGCACACGCATGCCAAACATGCACTTTGCGCAGGTGCAGAGGTGTTCTAACTTGCTCCTGCATGCCTGCACGATGGTGGTCGCTGCAGCAGCTGCTGCACGGCGCTATTCTGTGCTGCGCAAAGCAGCTGCACTTTGAATTCTGGCCATAAAAGTGAGTATGGGAGCCCAGGCGGGCGGGTGGGCCAACCACAGAGCAGCAAAGAGAACCAGTTCAGTCTCCACTGCTCATCGCCGCTACTGGCTCTCCAGAACTTGGCAGAACCGGTCGAATACCACCACTGAAGTGGCCTCAATGACTCTCAGAAAGTGTTAACAACCAGATGGCTGCAAGGAATATTAATCCTTCTATCCTCCACCATTTAGTCAGAAATGAAGAAGCTTCTTGGATGAGAAGTGAAACACCTTCAAGGAAAAACAGAGCAAATATATATATACTTTCTGCTTGAAATGAGAATGGAACATGAGCCTTGAAGCAGATCCTTAAGGATGAAGAGGACTTCCAGCATGAGTTTACGAAACATAGCACATGCTTTTCAGATTATGAATAGAATAGAATAGAATAGAATAGAATAGAATAGAATAGAATAGAATAGAATAGAATTCTTTATTGGCCGTGTGATTGGACACATAAGAAATTTGTCTTGGTACAAATGCTCTCAGTGTACATAAAAGAAAAGATACATTCGTCAAGAGTCAAGAATCATTTGGGAAAAAACTGTTCTTGTGTCTAGTTGTTCTGGTGTGCAGTGCTCTATAGAGTCATTTTGAGGGTAGGAGTTGAAACAGTTTATGTCCAGGATGTGAGGGTCTGTAAATATTTTCATAGCCCTCTTTTTGACTCGTGCAGTATATAGGTCCTTGACTGAACGCAGGTTGGTAGTAATTTTTTTTTACAGTCCTAATTACTCTCTGAAGTCTGTGTCTGTCTTGTTGGGTACAGAACCAAACCAAACAGTTATAGAGGTGCAAATGACAGGCTCAACAGTTCCTTTGTAGAACTGTACCAGCAGCTCCTTGGGCAGTTTGAGCTTTCTGAGTTGGCGCAGAAAGAACATTCTTTGTTGTGCTTTTTTGATGATGTTTTTGATGTTAGGTGTCCATTTTAGGTCTTGTGATATGATAGAACCTAGAAATTCGAAGGTCTCTACTGTTGATACTGTGTTGTCTAGTATTGTAAGAGGTGGTAGTATGGGAGGGTTATTTCCAAAGTCTAGCACCATTTCTATGGTTTTGAGTGTGTTCAGTTCCAGATTGTTCCAGTTACACCACGAGGCTAGTTGTCAGTATTTTAACAGATGGATCATTTGAGACGCAGTCATTGATATATAGGGTAATATGGTAAACTGTTCCTTGGCTTCTCTTAGACCAAGGCGAGAAAGGAAACGAGCGTTTTCCTCTTTTTAATTGATTCATTTCTCTAAGAATGGACATGTTTTGTTTGTTGATTCAGGAGAAGAACTGCACTCTCCATGTGTCTTCAACAGCTGATGCGCAGCAATCCGCTGTGCTGCACGATGCAGCTGAGTGTCAAAAGCAGGAAATAAAGGTTGGTATGGAGCTCGAACGGGCGAGTGGGCCCAGCAGCTGATCATCGGAGTTCTTTCCCAGATGATCTTTGGCTGAACCAAGCCAAACTGGTAGAATCCCACCCCTGCTTGGAAGTATAAAAAATGGTCATAAGCCACTTTTCTAGTGCTGTTGTATCTTTGAGCAGACACTAAATGAACTGTTGTAAGTCGAGGACTATCTGTAGTCTCCAACTCAGTGACACTCTTAACACACACAATTTGTTGAAAGCCATTTCTGAATACTAAGTTAGCTATCTTACACTGCTAAGTCTTGGGGAAAATCAGAATGTGCCAGAAGTGGAGAGCTAGTTAACTTAGACTTTATAACCACAAATATCTATGTCATACTATACTCCACAGCATGTCAATGTTCCAAGTAGTAACCACATTGTAGATAGAACTCTGAGACAGGTTGATTCCTCAAAGAACAGCTTTTTAGGGAGTTGTCGTCTTGTCACAGCTGGTGGAAAACCAACTCTAAATGTTCCTGCACTTTCCACCATGTTAAAAGTAACCATATTCCTGTTTTTCCAAAACAATAAATCACATGATCCAATTTAGATACTAGCTGGTTTCCTGGTTAAGTCTCTCCTCCTCTTGCCGTTGGAATGTCCCTGACCCATTAGAGAGCTATGTTTTTACTACAACCCCACATCTACCTCTACACCACTTCAGCTCCAAGCTGTGTCATCCTGAAGCCTTGTGGTAAGAAACCCCGATAGGAAAGAGGACCCCGCTCCCACAGAAAAGAAAACGGGCTACAGCCAGGTCAGCTTCAGGCTTGACACAGCAAGCAGATATTAAGACACAGACGAACCTTTTCTTATTGCTTCTTTTTCCAACCAGCTACGTATGAGTCATTATCTCAAAACAGAAGTTATTCTTCATAAGTCAGATCCGGAAAGTTTTTAAAATCATTGCAGAACTGCAGAATCAGAAAGAGCCATTTAGGCTGTCACATTTCACCCATTGTCCACCACAAGGAATAGAAAATAAAGCATTTTCAACCGGAGAAATATCTAGCTTCATTTGAACAGCGGAGACCACACCTCTCTCTAGTAAAACGGGTTCCATTATCAAAGGGGGTTTTTTGGGGGGAGGGGGTTGTAAAATGAATGAAATACCTTAAGGAAGTAATCTTCACGAAGCCAAAATCCATCAGCCCACAAGGTCCCAATGAGAGGTAGAGCCAAAGGACCCGGAGGCAAATGTCTTCGGAACCAGAGTTGCCTCAGGAAGAAGAGAATCAGCAGAGCAAGCAGCAAAAAACACAAAAATGTCCCTATTGTGATCATTGTCCTGCTGGTTCTTTTTCTTTGATGCTCTCTAGTCAGTCTGGAGGTGGTTGTTTCTTTTTACCCAGAAGGTTTTTGCTTTTCTTCCTGTTGTTTGGAAACGAATAGCAACATGTCTTTTGATGTTTTGTCTGGCACTGGTATTTTTCCAATAAGTTGCTGTTATATTAATGAGGTTACTCATGTGTTACTCAAATGGTAGAGGAGGAGATTTTTCTTTTAAAACCAAGGGTTGTGTAATCCAAATGTGTCCATGTTGTGGTACTATGCCAGGATTATTTAAAAAATCATCAGTGTGCCACATGTCTACTAAATTTATCCGAATAGAAAGGAAAATGTTTTGGATCACACAACAATGATCTAGAAGTGTATTAGGCTGTAACCACAGAGGGCTTTTGATGAAAGAGATACTTGGCTCCAGTCCAGATTCATTGTGATCCATCCTTGTCTAAAAAATGAGCCATCACCAACTTTTCACCAAACTAGTGTGAATTTATGAAGAAGTGTTTGATAGCTGACATAACTCACCTATTGATGGAGAAGCAATAGGGAAACAAGCTACCATACATATGACCACCACTGACCTAGAAAAATCATTTTATCAAGGACCACATGACTTCATCTGGCTATCACTTAATTTCTATAATGTATCCACTGGTGGGATTCATCCGGTTCACCCTGGTTTGGGCAAACAGGTTGTTAACTTTTTGCACAATTTGGAGAACCAGTAAATCCCACCACTGGCTAGCTCTGCCCCACCCGGCCTGCTGCATCCAGCCTAGTCACTCCTCATCTCACCTCACCCACCTTGGCCGGTGCCCAGAGTCATGCCCGTAGCTGCTGCTGCTCTCTGGCTCCCTCGCTTGCCTTGACCCATGGTCTCTGAGGGCCAGCCAGCTTGCCTGCCTTTCACCACAGCATCCCACACGGTGCCCACAGCCCAGCTGAGCTGCCCTGATCTCTGCCTGGTGAGCCTGTAAGGCTGCTACAGCAACTCCTGAGTCCCAGCCCAGCTGCCTCCCATGTGGCCCAGCCTGCTTGCCTGCCTTCACCGCAAGTAGCTGCATCCCCACGTGGCGCTCGCTCTGTGGCCCTGATCTGCCTGGGTCAGCCTGGGAGCAATTCCTGAATTTTGGGCCATCTGCCTCCCCCGTGGCATAACCAACTTGCTTGCCTTTGCCACAGTCTTTGCGGCATGTGGCACTTGCAGCTCACCTTGCAGTCCAGCTGAGCAGCCTTGTTCTACCTCGGCGAGTCTGTGAGCAGCTCCTGAATCCCAGCCCAGCTGCCTCTCACATAGCCCAGCCTACTTGCCTGCCTCCTCCCTGGCCTCCCCCAGCCTGAATCCCTGCCAAGCCTTCCTTCACTATTCTACACTGCTTCCCACACAGCCCAGATCCCTCCCTGCCTGGTGAGACTTCCTTTGTCTCTTTGCCAGTATGAACGACCTATCGCTGCTGCTACCTTTGTTCAGGCTGACAAAGAGGCGGTGGCATCAGTGGCAGCAGGCCAGTTTCTCAGGGTGAAGTCATGCCCAGCTGTACCACCAAAGTCCAGAAGTAGCTGCCTGCCATTTCCTGCTTCCAAAATTGTTTAAAAACCCTGACTTTTGGGCAGCAAGATCCAGCAAGAGATCAGAGAATTACCATTGCTGTTGCTGCACAAAGGTAAATCTAAAGTCTAAAGTCTACCGCCATTTCTATGGTTTTGAGTATGTTCAGTTCCAGATTATTCCGGTTATACCACGAGGCAAGTTGAACAACCTCCGTCTGTATGCAGATTCATCATTTTCAAATGAGACCAATTACTGTTGTGTCACCTGCAAACTTCAATATTTTAACTGAAGGATTGTTTGAGATGCAGCCTATTGGTATCTAGGTCACACTATATCACGTGCAAAGCAAACACAAGTGTTTGTACAGAGGAACATGTTATATTCCTTTCTTCTCCATCCAGCTACATATGAATCATTATCTGGCACAAGGAGAAAAATCATTAAGAAACTTGATTAAATTCCTTATCATGCAGTAATATATTACTAGGTTAATCCACTTGTCTATCATTATAGCATGAAGAAAACAATTTTGAATTATTTTGCATATTACTGGTTGATTATTTAGAATGAAATACCTTAAGGAAATAATCTTCACAAAGAAAAAAACCCATCAGCCCACAAGGTCCCAATGAGAGGTAGAGCCAAAGGACCAGGAGGCAAATGTCTTTTGGACCAAAGTCCTTTCAAACAAAATGTTTTTCAAGCAAAACAAACAAAATTGTCCCCATTAGCGTCATTGTCCTGCTGGTTATTTTTTGGTTTGTTTGTTGCTTTTTGAGACATTCTGGTCTATCTGGAGTTGGTTGTTTCCGTTTATCTGACACTTTTTCCTTTTCTTCCTCTCTTATATACTCTGTTGATGGAAAACCAATAACAACATGTCATTTAACTCTCTGTCTGACTAGTGCTGGTACTTTGTCAGCAAGATATTATCAGATTAATCCAGCTAATGAGGTTAACTTGGATCACGTGCCACTCAAATAACAAGAGAGATATTTTTCAAAACAGAACAAAGCAAAATAAAACAAGGGCTCTGTAATCCATTTTATTCCAGAATTATTTTAAAACAGTTGTGTACCATATATCCCTAATATCTACCTGAATATAAAGGAGAATCTTTGGGTCACAGAGATATTATCTAGTCCATTATTATGTCTTATGAATACCCTTGGAACTCCATCATTAGAACATTATCGGGGGCGGCGGGGGGGGGGGGAATCTCCCTCAACTTCACCTGGAAATAAGGGAAAAATCTTCATGAGGGCATCATACTGTCGGAGAACCATCTATAGATCTATGCAGTTAATCAGCCCTATGCAACTAAACAAATGAATACCACCCGTGGTGACACAGTGGTTAGAATGCGGTACTGCAGGCTACTTCTGCTGATCACCGGCTGCCCGCAGTTTGGCAGTTTGAATCTCACCAGGCTCAAGGTTGACTCAGCTTTCCATCCTTCCAAAGTGGGTAAAATGAGGACCCAAATTATTGACCCTGTTCCAACAGCAAAAAAATCCAAAATACACTGAGCCAGATTCTCTTCATTGTAGGTAAAGTTGGGATCATTCCTATTCTGATGTATACAATGGAAAATGAAAATTGCAATGAACTCTGTGCAGATTTCCGGTGATTATTTTTGCATCTGTGTCACAAATCATGAAAATAAATATATTTCTGGGGTTTTTTTGTATAGGAAAATCAATACATGAGAATAAGAATTAAAGTGTTAGATTCATACCGAGTAAAACAGTAAAGTAGCCCAGATCAAAGAGAGGTTCAGCTTTAGATGAACGTGAATATACTTCCTTTTATTTTATGGTTGGCTGATTACCTTAGTACATTTTTTCATGAGAAATGATGACTAATATGTACCTACTAGATGAATCACAAAAATTCACAAGCAGCATTACTTACATGCATTCTAATTTAAAATTATGCCCAAAGCAATGTCTCGAACTATAATCTTTTGTGGCTGCTATGCCTCACTATGACAATTTACAGAATACATAGTGTCAGCATTCCTACCAAACTCTCCATCCTGAATCCAGCACTCAGAGATAAAGCCCATCTGTTATGTCTCCCCTTTAATTACAGGTGAGCAAAACGAAATATAGCAGTTCCAGAAATATCACAAACCAAAAAACAAACCCCTGTGAGAGAATTGCTGCGGTATTTTCAGCCCTCAGCAGTAAATCCAAACTCTGTCTGGCAATCCTGACATGGCTATAAATTCTCAATGCCTCAAAGAGTTCTCTTTGTATTTTCACTCCCATTAATCACTTTGCTTCTGGCGAATTTCACCGGCCAAGCCGTTTCCTTTTATCCTCTATGGGGCGTGTTAACCTCCTTAATTAGTCACTGGCTCGACGCCTCCTTCCCAATTGAGATTGACATCTCAATCTCCGTCTATTTCTCACATCAAGCCAGGATCTCTCAAAGTTCTCTTCTTCGCTGGAAAACTCTTGCCTGTTTTTCTGATTACCTATTCCCGGCTGCTGCTCAGTCAGAGGGAAAGAATTGGAGGAGGTCGAAGGTCCTGACAACTCTACTAAATCAGGTTCATCTCTCCTAGTTAAATCCATTTCCTCATCCTGGCTAACATCCAAGTCACTCAGCAATGCAGGTTCAAATTCCACTGCCAGATCCTCTTCATTCGAACTCACATCTGCCAACGGAGCAGATTCCAATCCCGGAGTCACAACACCCATCCAAGTAAGAATTTATTAGAGAAGTCATGTTGGCACATCTGGGGAAAACCCGAATCAGAATTCCCGCATTTTCCCCCTCTACACTAAAGCTCACACCCAGCCCCCTTATGATGACTCTCAAGTCATCTTCTCCAATCCATCTCAGTTCTGAACACTTGCCAAGTCCAGTCACTCCCCTATAAACTCCAGTGACTTGGCCTTGAGCCAATAGGGAATAGAAGGGGAACTTACAAAATTTGCAGATGATACTAAGCTGGCAGGAATAGCTAACACCCAAAAAGATAGGCTCAAGATCCAGATGGATCTTGGCAGACTAGAACACTGGGCCGTATCTAACAAAATGAAATTCAGTGTAGAATAAAGTAAAGTCCTACGCTTAGGCAAGAAAAACCAAATGTACACATATAGACTGGGTGAAACCAGGCTCAATAGCAGTAACTGTGAGAGGGATCTTGGAGTCCTAGTGGACAACCAGCTAAATATGAGCCAGCAGTATGCAGCAGCAGTCAAAAAAGCTAATGCAATCCTAAATTGTATTAACAGAGGGATACAATCAAGATCAAGGGAAGTACTAATACCACTCTATAAAGCCTTAGTAAGGTCACACCTAGAATCCTGCATCCTGTTTGTTCACCACGTTATAAAAAAGATGTTGAGACTCTAGAACAGGGGTGTCCAACCTTGGCAACTTTAAGACTTATGGACTTCAACTCCCAGAATTCCTCAGCCAGTCTTAAAGTTGCCAAGGTTGGACACCCCTGCTCTAGAAGAAGTACAGAGAAGAGCAACCAGGATGATTAGGGGACTGGAGACTAAAACATACAATGAATGGTTGCAGGAACTGGGCTTGACTAGTCTAGATGTTCCATATTAGCTGGCTTGAAGACCTGCATTCCTATTGGTCCAGAAAAGCCGGACCGTGATTGGACGTCTTAAACACCCCTGATTGGCTCGAATAGGGCTTGCCGCGATTGGCTACAACCAAGCGCGACAAACTCAAAGGACTGTCATTGGCTGCCTAGCCGCGGCCAGCTCTATGAGAAGAGCTGCCGTGCGCTAGGGTTTTTTGTCTCAGAATTCTTCCTGTTAAATAAAGAACTGTTTGTTCACTACTCAAGCCTCGTTATTATGGGACCCACTGACGATACTTAACACTGGCGATGAGGATGGGATTCTGAGACAACAGGGCTGAACAGCATGTGGCAAACAGCTCAGAGACGACCAGCGAAATGGCCAGCAGCGCTGCGCCACCCGCACCATTCAACCCAGCCAGCGAGGACTGGGAGTCCTACATTGATCGTTTCCAAATGTTCTTGGAATCCAACAACTTAAAAGACACTACCGGCAGCAAAAAGCGAGCGGTCTTTTTAATGCGCTGCGGGCCCGCCGTTTTTAAAATGGCCAAGGCACTAGCAAAGCCCACAGATGTCAAGACAATGGATTGGGACAACCTAGCCCCCATCCTCCGGAACCACTACGCTCCGGCTGTACCAACTCTTATCCGAAGGCATGATTTCTATCAGTGAGATCAGCATGAGGGCGAGACCATTGGTGAGTCTGTAGCCGACCTGAGGAACCTAAGGGGCTTATGCGGATTCGCCAACTTGGACGAGGCCATGCGTGACCGGGTTGTCCTCGGCCTAAAAGACACAGCACTCCAAAGCAGGTTGATGGCCAAGGGTGACATCTCCCTCACCGACGCCATCAACGAAGCCACCGCAGACAAAGCTACCCGCAAATCAGCAGTGCGAATGCAGCGTTCAAATGGAACCAATCGCCAATCAACCAGTGAGGCGACTACCACACCAGAAAAACTCGCAGCCTCCACCCACCATGGTGACATCGAATCCCTCTCTGATAGTGAAGAGGAAGAAATCCACAGACTTCAATCTGAATGCGAGCGTTGGGACTGGCGAGGTCGTAAGTCAGGGTATCAATGTGCTGGCTGCGGAGGGAATCACCCGTGTTCTGAATGCAAGTTCCTGGACGTTGTTTGCC